AAGAATTTTGGGGGATCTGATTGAGGTGTTTAAGATTGTAAAGGGAATTGATAGTGTTGATGTGTCATCTTTTTTTTATATTTAACAGTGTGAATAGTAGGACTAGGAGACACAAATATAAATTTTGGCAAGGTAGGAGTCATCTTCAGCTAAGACAATTTTATTTTTCTAACAGGGTGGTTGGTCTTTGGAATGGGTTGCCTTCAGATGTTGTAGAGGCAGTAAATTTAAATGAGTTTAAGAAAAAGCTTGATAAGTATATGAGTGAAAAGGGCTGTGTTTAAAATATATATATTTTTTTTTTAATCATTTTAATTTAGTTTTGAGGATGGAACAGCTGAGATGGACCAATAGGTCCCATGTTATCCCAAAATATTATGTTATGTTACTTCCTCCAGTTCCATTTTTAGCATAGGAATCCTAGCCCGAGGTTATAGTGGAGGTACAATACCATATCTAGAATATACACTGTATAAGTAAAATGAAAACTCAAAAATATACATATCTCTACCATAACCAATATTTTGGCCCTTTTAACCATGGGGGGCATAATGTGTGATGGTGAGTCCCACTTTTCATTGGAAAAAGAGGCCCAAGAGCTGGCAGTGGATGATAGTTTCTAATGCAGATAGCCTTAGAATAACTTTGGGCAAAATTCGACAAACAAATTGCTATAACCAATGTAACCCTTCTCCACACACTGAAAAGTTTGAGGAAAATTGTATCCATATAAGGTAATGTAAGTTTCAAGTGGAGTGCACATATGTGGCTCATTGGCCTAAGTATTTTGTGAATGGGGGTGACAGTGCCACAGTAATCATTTTAGAGAAAATCAGATATCCAAAATGCAATGGGGAGGTATTATGAATTAGAAGGAGGTAAAATAAACAAAATCTTGCATAAAATTAAGAATTATAGCCAAAGGTCATAGTAGAATTGTATTTTATTTTTAAAATGTTAATTTTTATGTTATATTACTCTTAATAAATGAACTGAAATTTTTTATATAATTTTTCAATAATGCAGTTTTAAACCTCTGTTCTGTCTTTCATATACACGTGTATATATGTTACACATTTTATTCTAAGCTAATTTTTATGTAACCTTACTTTAAAACAATCAATTCTACGTTCATAGTTTTCATTCTTGTCTTTTTAGTTTTAGTAGTTATGGCATATGCTTATTTGGAAATTTCATATTGTAAATAAACTTAGTATTTTCACCGTAATTTACTTTTTCCCATCAAATTATTTTTCTACTGAATCTACCGTAATAAAAGTGCTGATTAGCAGATCTCTAACTTATATAGAAACTGTGTAACTGCAACTCGTGCACTTAGAAACAGATAAACACCTGAGAGGACACTTGGCAGAAAACTCTTTCAAAAATTTCACTGTTTCATGATCTGGATCTGTTTCATTAATTGCTATTGTTTATTTTTGTACAAACTATTTAACAAATATATATATTATGGTTTCAGGCTGGTTGGAAAGAAAATCATGCTACTTTCATGAATGAGTTAAAAAACCTGAATGCTGTAGGAGTAACAACAATGGGTCCAGCACTGAGGAATGCCTTTGATTTGCTAAATGTGAATCGCATGCAAACTGGTATTGATACATACGGCCAAGGTCGATGCCCATTTTATTTGGAACCATCCATAATAGTGGTTATCACCGATGGTGGCAAGCTTTCTTCATCAGGCTCCCAGGTTGAGCTAAAGTTTTATTTTTATTTTTTATATCTAATATTTAATTGTATGATAAGCTTTCATTGTGCAATTTTATGTGGTTAAAAGTTATGTGTACTGAAAATTATTGTGATGCATAATATATTAAGGATTGTATTTTCTTTGTGTATGTATTAAAATATTAGTAGAGGTGGTTTTAATTTACTGGAGTGCAGTGGACACATGTGTTATTGTGGATTAGGAAGCATTCTAACAAAGGCAACAAACTTAAAAGCCTTCTTCTTTTAATTCTAAGCAGTTGAACTGTGGTTCCTGTATGCTGGATAAAATTATGTAAAAGTTTTATATTGAATTCTTCTACATGTATATCCATATGTATAAGTGAATACCAAACTACTTGTATAATATAACAAAAAAAATTCAACCTTCCACTGATTTAAAAAAAAGTACAAACTTAGGTACCTTATGCAGGGGAATGTTTCTTATCTATAATGATGGAAAATATTTATATAAATTAACAAATATACATTTATAACTGACAGTTCAAATGCTAACTTATAAATTTAATCAGAACAATTGAACCATATGTGTGTTTTAATACAGTGTAAGATGACACTTTTAAAGTTTCTTTGAGGTATTGATACCACAGTAAACCAGGTAAAACATTATTCTGTGTTTTATCTTTTTTGAATTTATACTTTATTGCTCATTCTAGCTTAATCTTCCTATGTCCTCCATGCCTGGAGCTGAACTAACCAAGGAGCCGTTTCGCTGGGATCAGAGGTTATTTGCACTGGTACTGCGGCTGGCTGGGACCCCCTGCACAGAGCGAGACTCTGGGTCTGTAGTTCCCCCTGACAGTTCACCTATTGATGCAATGTGTGAGGTTACAGGGGGTAGGTATTAATTAAGACAATAGTGTGAAGCTAGTGGAAAAACCTAGAATTGCATATTTGGGGTTGCAATCCAAACTGATTAATGGAAATCAGAACAAATTCTTCCTGTCTTTAACTTAATATTTCTCAGGTCTTTGTGGCTTATTAACCAAGTTTTACATTAATTGTTGTTTAGATACGGTTCTCATGTTTACCTGGCCCCAACACAGATATACTTAACTGTATAACAGATTACACCAGGGCCAGTTTAATGAACACTACCCAAACTATACCACCCCAACCCCCATCAGGAGAAATTTTTCTAGTAGTAAATGACCATGATTGATGCTCATAATTCTTAATTTTTGTTTTCTAATCTTTTCATAGATATATCAATTTCAAGTTACCATCTAAAAGTTGACATATCAAATATAAAGTTGTTCTTTTAAAAATAAATATATTGTATGTGAATAAATATTTTCCTATACTCTTTTTCTTTGTCTGATTTTAAATGTTCAACATGCAAGTTCTATTTGTATATCTATAATTGTATAATACATACTGATCTATATATATATATATATATATATATAG